AAGAAAAACAAGTGGCTTAAAAATGAAAAGCAGTGACTCGTACTCAATTTTGTAAATAAAGAAAAAAATGGCAATGATTAAAGTACGTAAAGACTAAAGATGCAGAAGAAATATGTGACCAGTGAAAGACATGTTTGCTCATTTTATTGAAAACTTTTGATTTGTCAATCTCATTCGCTCATCATCGATTTATACTCATTCTATATTCTTTTCAGAATCAAATACACGGTGAATCATTTGTATCTCGACATATGTTTCATATCTGAAAGAAGAACGTTTGCAAGTAGTATCGACTAAAGAACGAAACAAGAAAAAAAAGCAGTGTGCTATATTATTACATCATGAACGAGCAATAAGAAATCAGTTATCTCATACGATATTTTTGATTATTTTTGAGTACATGATATCTACTATTCATTTTCTAGCCTAAGTAATTACCTGGATTCTGTATTAGCTGGCTATTGTCACTATTTACTCAACTTTCGTTCTGTTCTTAAATCGAAGTTTGATCTTCTTTGCCAACATATACGACCACATCAAGTCATTTCTATTATATTATCCCATGACAATGATACATCAAATCAATCAAACCTATTCTTTTCTCATTTTAAACTCGAACAATTCATTCATCTTCAATCATTCGATATGACTACGATTAGTGATAATAAATGCAGACATACACTGCTATATATAAATTAATTCCTTGACTGAACCGACTAGCACTACTCCATGCTCATAATCTCGTTTTGGTTTCATTGCCTCGTCTACATCATTTAACTCTTCAAAGTTACTTTTGATGGGGCTTATCATTTGTATTAAATTAAATTCCTAATCTTTACTCACTTGATGTCAAACTTTCATATGATAATTATCCAAAGTGGGTGGATAACATATCATTATTTCCCCATCTAAGATGGCTCATCCTGAACATCCATGGTGCGTATAGTTATTTGAAAATTGTAAGATATATATTCTTTGTTTTTTAAAATTAAGGCAAAAAAAGACCATGATCCATGTAGAACAATTTTTATCTAAAATACCTAATCTATATTATTTGAAACTTATTGCACAAGGTTATCTGGATCTTATTGATGGCCAAAAATGGAAATTACTTGTTTCACATTTGATTATATTCAACTTTCGATTGCATCTTCCATGTTCATTACCAGATTTTTCCGAAGAAAATGTTCTTGATTCATTTTGTTCACTATTTTGACTTGAACAAAAACGCTGATTTGTTGCCAATGATGGTCCATATTCGCGAAATATCTTTATGGTACCTTGTTTCACATCAAATATTCTCGTATGCCCGAATATTTATTGGCCACCAATATGCACATTGTCCAATTTCTGTTTTGATAAATATATCCATCAAGTTGATTTGTCATTATTTAATTCAATTATTTAACGTTTTATCAATGTCACATCACTCGTATTCAATATAGAAGAAACTGACACCAATCTTATATCGACTTCATTTCTCGATCTCATTGAACATATGCCTTATTTACATTCACTTTCGCGTCAAGATCTCTCTATATTAGCTGGCTTATCACATGATATCGCCTTCGAAGCGATACGAACTTTACACATACGAAACAATTTTGAAAAATCTGAAAGTGAAATCCACTATCAATTGGAGCTAAATCGATTATGTAGTTTTATTGATTGATCAATTGAACTATCTATCAATTGCACAATTTCTATTCTATTCTCGTTCGCCATCACTGACGCGTTTCTCAACTCAAAGTTTTTGCTCTAAAGATATTTCATCATATATGAGAGTGAAATGAGATAGTTTCATGTTTTATACGACAGTTCAATGATATCTTTGAGAATAATAAGTTATAATTGAGTACGAAAAACTAATCGATATTTATCGAGATGATAATTTTTAATTTCATTGAGCGAAAAGCCGGTTCAGATCACTCGAGTTTCTGAAGAGCGTTTTAAATTTTATAGTAATAATCTCCTTATCAATAAAAAGAAAAATACAAACACAATCATATAAAAATTGTCTTCGAAGAAATTTTTGTACGTTGGAAATTTATTTTTATCTTATATTTATTCTGCTTCAATGGGTCTCTAATTCATTCTCAAATATATCATTAATATATATTTTCTCATTGTTTTTGCTTTTCTATTCTTTGCTTGTCATTGAATATTTTGATTTTAATTATCTGACAATCGAAATTCGTTCAAATGGTATTCGTCACTAACATATTGTTTGCGATAGATCATATTGATGAAACATTTTTGTTAATATGTTGAAATATTCGATACGTCAAAATGTTTTTAGTCTCGCACATTTTGCATATAAAAAATATACACCAGCTCCAATGCTTTGACTATCTGTAAATTTTATCATGTCAAATAAGTCTTGAAAAAAACTCAATCTTATATTAATATCTATACAAAAATCAAAATTTTTTCTGTATAAGATGTATTGATTTCAATCGTTCTTCCTCCAAAAAATTAGCTTTTGGAAAGCAAAATTATTTTTCGTTTCAACTTAGAAGAAGAATGAATATTTATCGAATCAGTTTTGATAGAAACTAGAGAGTTTCACATTTGAGAACAGGAGATAAAAGTGTATTTAGTCATATATTAGCACTATGTGAGAATCACATGAGTCATTTTCTAATACTCAACTATCGTAATATTCTGCTGCACAATTAACCTTTTTCGGCAGAATAAGAGATAGAAATAAGTATTTTTCTAAACTTTTTACTTTTACAACTAAAAAAATGAAAAGATAAATAAAATTGAATTGTCATGAGCTTTTCTTAAATCTATTGCCATTTTATGTGAAAATGGCACAAATCGGACAAAAAAAAATCGTTGAGCACAATATCGTGCGAGATTAAAATGTGAAATATGATCGAATCATTTCAAATATCCAAAAGAAATACTTCTTATTTTTGTTACAGTCCATCATAAGATTTAAGTAAGAAATTTCGAAAGAAGTAGCTTATTTTCATTTTGCTCGATTGAAACATGTTTCAGGAAAAAACACATCATTTATCAAAAAAAAATCACTAACAAATTTTTGCTTTCGCAATAAGTTTGTTTGAGTCGATAATGAGTTTTTTGTTCGTCCAATATTTTACATTTTAAACAGGAAATAACATTTTCATTTTACTCGCTAGCAAAAGTCAATTCCCATCAGGAATTTGTCTTATTTTGTACCGTTGGACAGTTAGCCATCGTGGGAAAAATAACAGCAGAAAAGTTTGTACGCCATCATACCGACTATGAAGAGAATGTGTCTACAATGAACGACCTTGACAATTTAACATCGATAACCATTGAGACAATTCTTATCGGCTAATACGGAGCATTTGCTAGAAGTCTTTCAAAATTGATGTGGAAAATTAAATAATGAATATACCATTAGTGATAGCAAACAATGATGTTGCAATATCAACTAAAATACATGGCAAAATAATAACTCTTTGAACGTCGCTATTTCTTTGCTTTCTTCTCCTGAAAACATAAAAGTGAGGAAAATTTTCAACCAAAAACAAATGATAAATCAAATTATTAGTTAGTTCGATATATTTTTCATTGAAATAATAGAATTGAATTTATAATAAACATTCGTTTCTTCTAGTAATCTCTCTTTGACACTCATATATAAACATCTTTTTTTCTCTCACTTTGCTTGGATGACTGAATTATTTCGATATTTATTAGTTTTTTTTCCATCTAATGTTATTTCATTTGATTTGATTAATATCAAAACAATAAACAGAACCGATTGTTTTTTTTATTCATTGAAGAAATAACTGAAATAAAGTCTTTTTTTTAAAGAAGAATGGAAAAACTATTTGACTCTTCAATTTGTAATTTATGTTCATTGAATATCTTATTCCGATAGACTACAAATTAAATCAACTAAAAGGAAAAGATTATCTTTAGTTCATATAGGAAATTACGCGTCATTAGAGATTGGATCTTTATCTAGTAAATTCGAATAGAAATATCAATGAATATTTTAATTTGTGCTTGATCAGATAAGCCTTGGAAAGTCATTGAATTAACTTCGAAAAATAAGAGATTGATTAGAATTTTCTCGACAACTATCTGATGTTCCGGACTGGCAATAGAAAATGAAAAATCATTGTATGTTTCTCATATTGAGGAACATCTTGTAACCAAATGGTCTGATGACCAGGTAATCGCTAGGAGAAACGGAGAGGAAACTGATGTTAATCAACTCTATGGGATCTTGTCCTGATCGATTGGAAAAATCATCATGTGACGAAATAATCACTTGGTACCAGAGAAGTTCCAGCGTTTCTCTAAGATTTTTTTTCTCTATTCAAAATCATGACTGTTTACGTACTGCTCGTTTTCTTTGTTGACAAAAACTTGGTTTTGTACGTTATATTTTGTTTGTGTTCTGTCGTTGATGCAACCTACATTTTTATATTGGCAAGAAGAAAATCTACTTTTTCTTTTATCTACAGTCTGTTCTCTTTCGCCCTAAGAAAATAAGAGAAAAAGCAAAAAGTGAGTATATGTTTGTGCACGTATAAAAGAGAGCGAGCGGGATATATAAGTGTGTGTTTGCTTAGGTAAATGACGATGACACTATCATTATCATACCTGTTGTCGATCAAAACACCTTTTTTTTGTTCAGGTCTTTTCTTTTATTTTTCAGATGTCATCAGCTGATTGAATAGCTTCGAATGTTGAAGTTAAATATACTCTAATCTTTATCAACAATGAACGGCATACAGCAACAAATGGAAAAACATTTTCTGTCATCAATCCATATACAGGAGAAGAAATCTGTCAAGTAGAAGAAGGCACTAGAGTATGAATCTCTATATGTTCTTCATTGGTTCATTATCTATTGTGATTTTCAGGGTGATGTTGATAAAACAGTTGAAGCTGCTCAAACAGCTTTTGATATTGAATCACCATAGTGTAAATTAGATCCTCTTTCTTTCTCTCAACATAAGTCAATATGTAGAAAGTGGAAATACTTAACAATGGTAAACTAGTAGAACAGACTAAAGGTGAAATATTTTTCTCAGCTGATTGTACTGAAACCAACTGAACAAACACCACTTAGTGCACTTTATTGTGCTGCTCTTATCAAAGAGGTAAGATATTATCATGTCAATTATACGTTGTTGTTGTCATGATGATCTAGACTAGCTTTCCACCAGGTACTGTTAACAGTGTACCAGGTAATACACATCACTAGAATGAAAACAACTCTTATAATGATATACATATGTAAGTCATGGACCTAAATGTAGTCATAGATGAAAAGATTAAAAAAATAGCTTTTACAGGTTCACTCAAGGCAAGACTAGTGCAGATGAAAGACAGAATAACAAAACCACATTATATTTTGTTTTAGATTGGGAAAAAGATTCAAGAAACTGCAGGAAAAACTAATCTAAAGCATGTTTCACTGGAACTTAGTTATTAAAATAATCTTTCTTACCTGTCTGCTTTGTTGCCTTTTTCATCATATATAGGTAGTAAATCACTATTAATCATTTGTGAAGATACTGGTCGTATGTATTAAATAATTCTGTGTCATATTAAAATTAAAAGGAAAATGCAGTAATAATTATTTAATTAATATAAATTTCTTTTATTCTATTCAATTACATGAAAAAGCAGAATTTTCGACCAGTGTCTGTTGGAACCAGCTTGTAAATTCGGTCATCATCGGAACAGTTAACAATTAATATTCAGAATATCGAATCTTCACGAAATATACAGATAACTTGAAAAACAATACACAAATCCAATTATTAATCCAATTATTAGGTTCAAGTTTTAAGAACTGCAACGTATATGTCATAATTCTACTTTTTCATGTAATTGAATAGAATAAAAGAAATTTATATTAATTAAATAATTATTACTGCATTTTCCTTTTAATTTTAATATGACACTGTATTCACATTCAAGTTTATCTATTTAAAATTAAATAATTCTATTACTTTCATTTTCATTGTGCTTCCTAATGATGAAAACGGTTTATAAACGATAGAATTAATTTGTTTTGCATATTTTAGTCGATGTTCCTGTTCGAACTACTCATAGAGCAGTGCTCACTCGTGCAGGTCAAGTATGTTTTGCTGCATCAAGAATATTTGTTCATTTCACACTTCACGATGCCTTTGTGTCTAATAGTGTCGAATTAGCAAAGAAACGTATCGTTGATGATCCATTTAATTCTACAACTGAACAAGGACCATAGGTATAAGAAAGCATTTCAAGCAAAGTGTCATAATCTAAACTATGGAAAAAACATATTGATTGAGGATTCAGAAAATAATTTGATAAGACGACAGATTAACACTGATTTCTTTTGTGTATTCTACAAAACAGTCACACTCAATTAGAAATAATTCTTGAATATATTCAATCGGGTAAAAAAGTTGGTGATAAAGGTTATTTTATTCGACCTACTATTTTTACTAATGTAAAAGATGATATGAAAGTAGCTCGTGAAGAAGTTTGTCTTTTTTTCTCTTTTCTTCATTTCATCGAAATCATTTTCTTCTATTTTGAATATCTCTTTGTTTCAACGTATTTTCTCATTAGTCGATCCATCGGATATATTCAGCAACACCATCGAAATTCTTATCTACATTGGAATCGGAATCATTGGTTGAATAATACAAATAGTTTAGGTTCGATGTAAGAGACTTAGATACAATGCCATACTTCTCTAACTTCTGACGGTGCTTGACTGCAAACGTAGATCTCTCTACTAAGACATTGAACCTCATATGGTATGAAGTGAAACTTAAGACAAAAAAAACAGACCATGCAAGTTGTACGCTACAGTCTATTCAAATGATTACCTTTTTATTTCTTTTTCTAATTTACTTTATGAGTATTAGCAGAGGATCTCCTAGAATACCAGACAACATGGCTGGAGAAAAATTTTTGATTTTTGATTTAATTATCTTAAAATAAAGGTCGCATATAGGTATTACTAAATCCGAAATATTAACTCGATCTGATAATGATTCATTGAATTATGAAGTCAGGGCTGCCAAATCTCTTGATTTAGTCAGGAGACTCCTGGTTTTTAGACTTTTCTCCTGGCGAAAAAATCTCCTGGATCAAAGAGCTGGTTTTTATGATTTTCTCCTGGTTTTTTAAAGGATTTTGCCACATTTAGTTGTAGTGATATTTTGAATCAATGAGACAAAGAAAAAGAGAACTATCACACTATTTCATAGATGCAATAGACAATGGGAAAACACGTTGTTTCTGCTTGTTATGCTTGATAATATGCGTTTATTTGTGAGCTTATCTTCTTGACGGTCAAAATGTACCTTATTTACAAAAACTAGTTTAGTTCGTTTTTTCTCTATCAATCTAGAATGCTATTTGTGAATTGATCTTCAGCCACATGAAATTTTTGTGGACTAAGAATAGAAACGATTTGAAGTGCGATCTTATCGGCGCATAATTAGGAACTAAAATAAATAATCATCTCAGTTATACAGAGTTCTATAATTATCCTTTAAATAATTCAGACCTATTGAAACAAACTCAGTCTTTAGAAAAATATGATCATGGTCATAGTTGGCGAAATGTTTTGGATTTAGGGTAGGCTCAACAATTTTTTACAAGATTCGCACCAGAAAATTAAAAATGTGGGGTAAGCCAACTTTTTTGATGCCATCTTGATGAAACAAAGTTAGTGTTTTTCATTTCGAACTCGTATTTCGTAATGTATGACACTGATAGAGGTAAGAAAAGCATTTGCAACTTATGTGTCAAAAAACGTGGATTTAAGAAAACATGTAGATGATTATCTTCATTGACTTTCAACTCTCGCAAGAATTGTTTTCCATCCGCTTTGCTAAAAAACACAAGAATGTCCAAGCAGTAGTGTTCGCAAAAACTACATTACATTATCAATGTTTTTACTGTGTTGAAAAGATTTTGTTCTGCGAGAATATTTTTCTATACTCGTCGTTTTCTCGCTCCATTTCTTATGGCAATGGGAACTCTATTAAGTATTGGTGTTCCCGCATTTTTTCTCGTATTTGCACACATATTCAAATGCATGTATGTAACAGCTTTTTATTTTTACATAACTAACCTACTGTAGCTCCGATCATAATTATATTTTTAATCTCAAGTCGTGTCACGATTATCTTAAAATCTATAACTAAAACAGGAATATGAATTCTGACGTCTTACGATTAGAAGTGTAAATCGACGAGCTGAGTCGCAGCTGTCGGTGGGACAAAAAAATTAATAGTTTTGAAGATTTTTCGATGCCTGAGATCACTTTTCAACGATGTTTCTGTCTAGGTTTTTTATCAGTGTGTTCTCTACCATTGTTTTCTCTTTTTCCATCCGATAATTTCTCAGAAATAAGAAAACCTTAAAGAAATCGTCCAACAAATTCACTCGTCTCCGCCGACAAACAAAAAAAGTTGAGTATTTTCAGTCGCTGCCGAAAGAAGGAAAAAATAAAATCACACTTACACACCGCCGATCTATGAACTGGTTTACGCTTCTGCTTACGGATATGGAAATAAATTTTTTTCCGGGAACGAGAGTGTAAGAACAAGAATAACCATTTTTTTCTAAGAGAGTGTAAGAACAAAAATAAAAATTTTTTTCCGAGAAAGAGAATATATGGGCGAGAACAACAAATTTTTTCTGAGAACAAAAAGAATAATCGAGAAAAGTTGCTCTCATAACACTAATGATCGGGTATGTGAATTTAGTTGCTAAAAATGATAAAAGTCTTTGGCAGCTACTAGCTGGTATGATTCAGGTTTTTTATGCAGTACTTCGTCACTTTTAACGAAAGAACCCCACTTTAAATCATGGCTGACCCAAGATTGGACATTTAGCCACACAAAACTAAAATTTTTCTCAAAAACAGTTTCTAGATCTGTTTCAATAAATGTTACTATTTATTGCCGATAGCGGCAAAAAATCTTGATGTCTATACAAAAATTTTTATTTTACTGCACAAACCTATCAATTTGACGTAGTAGAAAACAATTATTTGAGGGTACCATAGTCTATGGAATCTGAACCTAAGATGGGCTTTAGTCTACTGAAGCCGTGTGATTTCATCGTCTATGAATAGATCCTATCTAAGTCTTCATTTATTCCATCCGCGAACCTACCTAAGCCTTTAGCTGTCCAATTTAGAGTAGGCTCAAGCATATTCAGGCCTTGTGACCCCTCCGTTTATGGTCATGTTACAAAAGTGACATGAACGGTATAGTTGATAAATTATTGTTCATGTATGCTCATTTTGTTTAGTTACATATTGATGTCTAATTAAACTTCATTTTCTATTTTGTCGGTATATTTTGATGAACCGCTGTGAAATGAGTAGTAAAATAAATTCCACACAACTATCTTTTTTTTTCTAATATATATCACTTAGACGAAATTTTGTGATTAGTAACTTAGTAGAAGAACATAACAAGTGATTAGATAAACGAAAACTTCAGTTTTCTTTGAGAGAAGACCACTAATTCATTTCCTGATTTCAATAAACATCTCCTGATTTTTCGCAAAAAACCCCTGGCTTTTGAAATTTGGATTTGGCAGCCCTGTCTGACGTATGTCATGGTAACAGGCCTTATAGAGTTATGATGCAAAATGGTCATTTTTTTTTTGGTACTTTTTAATATATTGTAAAACTAAAGAATTATTCCACGAATCAATATAGCATTGACTTTTGTCAAAAGGAAGAGCATATCTTTTTCTGTCGACTTCACACAAGCATCATTTTATAGAAAAAAAAGGATTAATACGATGATTTTTTAATGAAAATATGTATGGTTTTTCCTACCATGTTTTTTCATGTTTTTTTTGCGTTTTTTTAAAAGTATTTTGACCTTTGAATTAAAAAATGGGGTTTCTCAGGAATTTTATGATATCAGAAGATAGCCCGTAAAAAACTCCATCTTCTACGTGAAAATATCTAAGAAAAATCATGACTGGCTCAATCAACTTTTTTCAACAAAGTTTATCATGACGTATTTTTTATGCTGACTATAACATGTTTTCATTGTTTCTGCATGTTAATCATTTTTCATTCACGATTTAATCTATAAGTTCATTCAATAAGCATAACTACATCGGGTAGAATGTCAGAGCCATATTTCTAATGATACTCCTATGTATATAAATGTGGTCGACCAAGTGAACCTCACAGTGCGTAAATTCTAAATTTCGAGCTCACTTCCCGCTAGTCCATTTTTATACTTAACAGCACATAGTAAGATTTCATGAATTGCAGCCATAGGCTATGAGCGCATTATGTGATTGTAAGTTAGTTAATTAATTAGTACCCAACTAATTAGAACTAATTAGAGAGAGTACTCAGTTAACCAGCACTAACTAAGGCGACTAATACTTAGGGTAAGCATAGTTTGCAGTATACATCCGTAAAGTTTTGAGGGCTATTGGGGTCATTGTTGAATGCGTTAGGAAATATTGGATTTATGAGTAATGTAAGAAACGTGTATTTAAGTTTTGCTTTATCAAGTAAGAGTAAGCTTTTTTGTTAGCTGAAGGTAATTGAGTCGCGTGATAGAGTATCTTCGATACACAAGTAGTATATGCGGCGGAGAAAATGTTTGAAAATTTGGGTAAACTTTGAACTCTTCTGTGGTTAAAGATCGATTGATCATTAAGTGTGCAATAGACCCAGCTCATGCGAACAAAGCTGGCTGACTAGTTCTACCTTAGCGAACTGAGCTGAATCTATGATACACCTACTTACGGTTATCGCTGCAGGATAGGGCTTAAGGATATAAGGATACTCCTGTATAATAGTCCTTGAGTACCTGCAGCACAGTCGGAAGTTTTCGCATAAGCAGGCGAACATACAATTTTTTTGCTCAGAAATAAACATATATCATTCAGAGAATCGTCTTTGAGAAAACAGAAAGTTTTTAAGAAAAAAAATTACGACAAAATCTGGCTGGGGAGTACCTCAGCCATAATTTTCCGAAAAAAATTTGTTTTGAAAAATATGTTGAGCTACATATCACTCGAAGTAGTGTAATGCGTTCATTCCGAATATCACCATAGTTTTTCTTCAAAGAGTAATATCAGTGCCAAAAATCGGATTTCCTACTGTAAAATAGTTTAGGAAAGGTTTCATAAGTTTGCGCCACTATCATAAGTAGGTTACATATGTAAGAACGTCTGGTAAAAATGCGCGCTCGATTCGACGTTTTCTCTTTGTAGTGCTTACAATATATGGAACGATATGTTTTCAGATAGGTTTTGGATCTCGAGATCCTTTGTCTTTTACTCTATTTTAAATTGAATTTGGATCACTTTTTTTTAAACATAAGGTCTACCCATGAGGAAGCTTTTTGTGATATTTTTTGCTTGTGCAATATTGTTTCATATTGCCTAGCAGCTTGATTTTCTTTATTTATGCTGATTTCTGGGGCACAAGCCTTGGCAAGCACTTTTCTTGGGTTTTATAAAACTTTGAGAACCGCTATTTTAGGAAATGATAGATCACATATGCACGTGCCTACACAAATGGTTAGATTCTGGAAAAGAATATTTTCGCGCATGTCCGTCTGGCTCCCCACTGTAACAGACATCAGCGTTACTTCACCTGTGTATTGACCTTGTGTTGTTCTACTTGAATGTTGGATAAAACCCACTGATGACAGCTAACAAAGTGCTCCGTCCTTCATTTTCTTATTAAATATTTATTATGCAAATGAAGACTGCTATTCAAGTATGTTGTGTGCAAAGTCATCGACTTTCCGCGAAAGAAGAATAAAAGCATGTGCACCAACTAACTTTTTTCTCTCTTTCTGCGATTAACTCCTGCGTCACAAACGACATACTGTATCATTGCTAAAAAACAAAACAAGGATTCATAGTGTCTTATCGAGCCTGTTTGAATACATAATATATTCATTGTAGACTTCTTAACTGATTGGTGATCAAACAACACAAAAATAAAACTTTTGAAAAGGTGATAATTTCTCAAACCTATGCGAATCTTTGCGAAGAGCTCGTAATGGTACAAGACTCTCAAGGAAAAGTCTCCAACTAATCCATGCCGTTTTTGTTGATATTTTGCCTATATGTAGGGTTCGACGAGATTAGAAAAAACTTAAAAGGATAACAGCCCATAGGCTTTCCTTCTCAAGTTATGATCATTTTACTTAGTTTACCACCTGGCACAAGGGATTCAGCGAAAAATCAAATTGAGAAATTTCGATCTGAAATTTTGTCCACATGCAAGTCTTATGACCTATATATTAGCCTAAAAGTTCCAGTCAAAACAAACGCCTCTTTCTCGCAATATTGCGTTATCAAGAAAACATTACCATGCTACATACATCTCAGCAAAATCGACTTCTATGGAAAAATCAATATTTTACGAAAGAAGCATTTATTTTGACTGCAACCTTAAGCCTAATATATAGGTCATAAGACCTGCATGTGCATGAAAGCTGATTTTTCACTGAATCCCGTGTCATAGGTAATAAACCAAGTAAAATGAGGGTGTGGATGTGACTAGGGTGTGGATGTGACTAGGGTGTGGTTGTCGGTGGACGTGGGCGTGCTTGCCGAAGAGAAGACTCACACCCACACCCACACCCATACCCTCATCGCATAGTATACATATAGGCTGTTTATAACTAGCGAACTATTGTTTTTTACTATACGATGACATCATTATACATTCTTTTCTTTTTATCTTCGATCGAAACGAGATAGATCGAAAATAACTTGCAAATGTGAGTTCTGTCATTTTCGATAGTCTTTCTTGGCTGATATTGTCAATTACAAAATATTTTCGCTGCTGTTAAAATAAAAAAAGTCTTATATTTCAATATTAAGTCGTTCATTTACTTATATATATTATATTTCATATTTGACGTCGTAGAATAATCTAGAAAAAAAAACATCCAATATCGAATATATAAATAGAAAACAGTGGTCTCTATCCAAACAACAATTGATCCTTCACAATATTCAATCGTCGAGCAAACGTCAAAAACAACATCGAAAATGAGTAGACAACCACGACCACGAATGGCTGAAAATTATCTGATCATCTGGGCCGATGGTACTATTGACATGGCAAATGAAGATTGCCAGAATACGCTCGCGCAATTGCGCGGTGTTGTTAATGAAGTTAATCCATGCACCACGGCCGAACAATGTATCCAGAAACTCCAGGAAAACAATGAGGAGACATCATTTGTCATCTCCTCAGGTGCATTAGGACAACACCTGGTACCAGAAATTCATGGCATGCCAAAACTGGATGCCATATATATCTTTTGTGGCAACAAACAACGCCACCAAGAATGGGCTAAAAATTGGCCCAAAATTAAAGGTGTGCATACATCAATCAAGTACATCTGTGAAAAACTGGGAATAGCTATAAAACAATGTGATCAAGACCAGGTGACTATTAGTATTATTAGTGCTAGTGAAGGAGGTTCTAGCGAAAATCTCAATCGGCTAGAGCCTTCCTTCATGTATACTCAAATATTCAAGGAAATACTCCTTGATATGGAACATGGTCAAAAAGCCGTTAAAGACTTGGTCACATATTGCCAAGAACAATACGAAGGCAATACCAAAGAACTCAAATTAATCAATGAATTTCAACGTAATTATCATCCAATATTGGCCTTATGGTGGTATACACGCCAATGCTTCACATACAAAATGCTCAATCGAGCATTAAGAACATTGGATGGCGACATTATCATCCGAACGGGATTTTTCCTGTGTGATATTCATCGACAAATTGAAAAATTACACAGCCAACAGGTCAGTCAGTATCATGGAAAGTCCTTTCTAGTTTATAGGGGTCAAGGATTATCGACAAGTGACTTTGAAAAACTTGCAAAAAACAAAGGTGGTCTCATATCTTTCAATAATTTTTTATCCACCAGTACAAAACGAGATGTTTCCCTCGGTTTCGCCAAAGATGCATTAGGAACAACCGATATGGTCGGTATCCTCTTCCAAATGACAATAGATCCTACTGTCTCATCGACTCCTTTTGCCTCCATCCAGGAGGTGAGTTATTACAAGGACGAAGAGGAAATTCTCTTCTCAATGCACACCGTCTTTCGAATTGATGAAGTTCGAAAACTGGACAAGGAAAGTTCACTTTATCAAGTGGACCTTAAACTTACGTCGGATGATGACCAACAACTTCGTCAATTAACCGATCGTATACGAAAAGAAGTCGGCGGCACTGGATGGTATCGACTGGGTCAATTGCTACTCACAATTGGTCAATTCAACAAGGCTGAAGAATTGTACATGGCACTACTAGAACAGGCTTCTAACGACAGTAATAAAGCAGATATCTATCACCAGCTTGGATGGTTGAAAGACGACCAAGGACAATACAAACAAGCAGCTTCATTTTATGAAATGTCTCTCAAAATTAAACGAAAAACTCTACCAGAAGATGACCCTTCCTTGGCTCCTACATATAGCAACATCGGTTTGGTGTATAACAACATGGGTGACTACTCGAAAGCACTTGAATTTTACGAAAAAGCACACAAAATCTACGAAAAAGCTCTGCCTCCGAATCATCCTCATTTGGCTACTTCCTACAACAACATCGGTCTCGTGTATAACAACATGGGTGACTACTCGAAAGCACTTGAATTTTACGAAAAAGCATATAAAATCTACGAAAAAGCTCTGCCTCCGAATCATCCCGATTTGGCTACTTCCTACAACTATATCGGTGCAGTGTATTACCACATGGGTGACTACTCGAAAGCACTTGAATTTTACGAAAAAGGTCTCGAAATCACGAAAAAAGCTCTGCCTCCGAATCATCCCGATTTGGCTAGTTCCTACAACAACATCGGTGGAGTGTATAACAGCATGGGTGACTACTCGAAAGCACTTGAATTTTACGAAAAATCACTTAAAATAAGAGAAAAAGCTCTGCCTCCGAATCATCCCGATTTGGCTATTTCCTACAACAACATCGGTCTCGTGTATAAGAACATGGGTGACTACTCGAAAGCACTTGAACTTTACGAAAAAGCACATAAAATCTACGAAAAAGCTCTGCCTCCGATTCATCCTCATTTGGCTACTTCCTACAACAACATCGGTGGAGTGTATAACAACATGGGTGACTACTCGAAAGCACTTGAACTTTACGAAAAATCACATAAAATCTACGAAAAAGCTCTGCCTTCGAATCATCCCAATTTGGCTACTTCCTACAACAACATCGGAGGAGTGTATGATGACATGGGTGACTACTCGAAAGCACTTGAATTTTACGAAAAAGCACATAAAATAAAAGAAAAAGCTCTGCCTTCGAATCATCTCGATTTGGCTAATTCCTACAACAACATCGAAGGAGTGTATGATGACATGGGTGACTACTCGAAAGCACTTGAATTTTACGAAAAAGCACATAAAATAAAAGAAAAAGCTCTGCCTTCGAATCATCCCGATTTGGCTAATTCCTACAACAACATCGGTCAAGTGTATCACAACATGGGTGACTACTCGAAAGCACTTGAATTTTACGAAAAAGCACATAAAATAAAAGAAAAAGCTCTGCCTTCGAATCATCCCGATTTGGCTACTTCCTACAACAACATCGGTTTGGTGTATAACAACATGGGTGACTACTCGAAAGCACTTGAATTTTACGAAAAAGCACTTAAAATAAGAGAAAAAACTCTGCCTCCGAATCATCCTCATTTGGCTGGTTCCTACAACAACATCGGTCAAGTGTATAACAACATGGGTGACTACTCGAAAGCACTTGAATTTTACGAAAAATCACATAAAATCTACAAAAAAGCTCTGCCTCCGAATCATCCTCATTTGGCTACTTCCTATAACAACATCGGTGGAGTGTATAACAAAATGGGTAACTACTCGAAAGCACTTGAACTTTACGAAAAGGATCTCGAAATCACGAAAAAAGCTCTGTCTCCGAATCATCCCGATTTGGCTATTTCCTACAACAACATCGGTGCAGTGTATTACCACATGGGTGACTACTCGAAAGCACTTGAACTTTACGAAAAAGATCTCGAAATCACGAAAAAAGCTCTGCCTTCGAATCATCCCAATTTGGCTAGTTCCTACAACAACATCGGTCTCGTGTATAAGAACATGGGTGACTACTCGAAAGCACTTGAATTTTACGAAAAATCACATCAAATCTTAGAAAATGCTCTGCCTCCGAATCATCCCAATTTGGCTACTTCCTACAGCAATATCGGTCAAGTGTATAACAACATGGGTGACTACTCGAAAGCACTTGAATTTTACGAAAAATCACTTAAAATTAAAGAAAAAGCTCTGCCTCCGAATCATTCCTCATTGGCTACTTCCTACAACAACATTGGTATGGCGTATTCCGGTAAAGGAAACTACTCGAAAGCACTCTCATTCTTAGAAAAGGCACTTTCTATCTTGCAAAAATCACTTCCACCTAGCCATCCTAATATTATAGCGGTCAAAAACTCAATTGACAATGTAAAAAAGAAAATGTAACTGTAATTTTTTCTTTTCGCTTGCTCAATAAATTTATTCACATTGCTAATCATTTCGATTTTTCTCGGTTCATTTTGGCTTATCCGCGCGCGCGCGACAAGGGAGAGATCCCTTGTCAATGCCATAGGTACCACAGGCGAACCACGCCGGACTGGTAGGGCAATGGCCGAAGGTATACCGTATTAATGATAGGGACCAACGACACATAGAGGCCTTCCCTAGCACTACACTGCTTCGCTATGGCAAAGTTTCTCTACCTATTGAATCAGACAACGTAGTTCTCTGACCCACACTAATAACACTCATAACTCAACTCATCTCATCTCAAAAGTACTCATAGTCATACTCATAATAACTGATAGTATTTATTTTTTCTCAAAATAACTTATCTCAACTCAATTCAACTCAACTGAATATGTAAAAAAATTTTTTTTTTCTTACTTCTCAATATTGTATAGTATCGAAACTCATCTAAAAAAAGAAAAAAAAAGCATTATTGAATATATAATGAATTTATTATTTACTTCATATAGAATTTAATAATATCGTTATCATTGTAAATAATATCATAATAATAATAATAAACCCGGGTATATAAATACATTGTAATGCATTATAATAATACAACTCGAGTGTATACTGTTTCATAATGATGTATTCATGTTTTTATATACCCTGAGATTAATTGACCGATGTTCAAAATTTTGATTGATTTTTTATCAATCATTCCACTTCTGTTTTAATTGATTTGATGATTTTTTTTCTCGTCTGACATGACATACATCTATATCATGTCATCGTCGACGAAACAAAATTTTCATGTTACATATATATAGGGTGTTGTCTTTCTCCTTTACATTGCTCGTCTTCAAATAAGAATACAAGACAAGAGAATTCATCAACTTGAGTAACTTAAAAAATAGGTGTGTTTTGTTTTTACAAAATGTGACCTTTATTTTAAGAATGTCTGAAATATATACATGTCTAAATTATATAGAATAAGATAGCGTTTGTCTCTCTACTGAACAATATAATTTTTATTGGACGTCTTCATTATCTTCAATATATATGTATTTGAGTAATTTCTGAGAAATTTTTGCGTGAACTTTTTTCACGTATAGTTTTTCGACTTTTCTTTAAAGAAATGTTAGTTGTGCAAAAATCGAAATTTCTACACATTTAAGACTGATGAATTTCTTTCATTTCAAATTATTTTCATTGAAATATAGTGCTTCTCAGGATTTACCTAATTTTCGTCCAAAATGTATCAACTGGTACATAACAAACTATGAATGATGTGTATTCACTTATATTGTCATATTCATCGATATAGTAATGGATATATAAACAGCTATGAATTCATCTCAAAATAGTCTCCTGATGATAGAGTATATCATATTTGTACTCTTTAAATTTTCAAGATTTATCGATGAAAACAAAATTTATCATTATAAACATTTTGAACAAACAACTGTAATGTAAAAGTAACATTATTTCTAGATTTTTATACGAAACTGTATATCAGACAAAGTATTAGTACAAAAAAAGGGGCATTTTTTGTTTAGATGTAATGAACGTTATTGCCTTTACATGTTCCACTTTCTTAATTGAATTATTAATGAGTATTTTGACATTGTTGAATGAAAGAAGTAACTATTTTTAGTTACCTGACAAAGTACTCTCTATGAAGTAATGTCATTTAATTAGAATGAAATGAGGTATTTTCTAAGAGAGACAATAATGATAGCAGTAGAGCATTTAATGAATGTCTTCATGTATTTCTCATTATATTTCTCTTGTATAAAAATTATTCGACAGATACAACAATTTCATTTTGTTTTCAGTGTAGATATTTAAGTTTTTATAAAAATTCGATGTTGGTTTTTTATTAGAAAATGATTAAACTATAGTTGCTTGAGAAATTGTATATTTTGTTTTTATTCAGATCTCCCATCATACAGTTGTTGGTGTATTCTGTATTTCGATTATAGGTGTAGAGTGAGGCGTTACACTAAAAAAAAAAATAGAAAACATGCTGAATAACTTATTGGAATATTTTCTCGTTAAGGATAAATACATATTCTGACGAATATTCGTTTTCTATGATTTTCTAAAGATAATTGATATTTTTATCGAGTATTTGTGAGATATAGAGTTTTATTGTGAGTTCATTGAAAAATATCTCAGAATTTTCATAAATAAAATTATGTATAGATTAATTATTTGAGTCTATAAAAGAAATCTCAGTAGTAATAATAAATAAATTAATGAATCACATTTTTTTTTCTCATTAGACATATATACATGGTTTTTTGTTATGCTTGAAAGTATAAGTGAATCTAT